GGCGCACTTGCTACTGCACATGAGCCTGGGTGAGCGACCTGGGGGGGAACTCGTGAGCGGGGCTGCTGCGCCGCTCGCCGCACCTCCTCCGCGAAGCCGCGCCCACCCTGACGTCCCCTCTCCCGTTCGGACCAACCCGCCTTTTTCGTGTAGGATTTAGTGCTAGCAGAACTCTGGACCCCGGGTTAGCAGAACTGGATTCCAGCCTCAGCTCTACCCGCTGCTGGCTGCTAGCGGTGTGACCTCGGAGGAGGCACACCCCAATCCCAGTCTCCTCAATGTAAAAACATCACACACACACACACACACACACACGAAAAAGAAAAAGTATTTTTGTGTCTAATTAGTTTTTCATAACATCCACATGATGAAGTAGAAGCAGCTATTGTGCCCCAAGTTTTACCGATGGAAGTTCAAAGAGGTTAAATGACTTGCCCTAAGTCACATCCTTGCCAATGACCTCTGCTCCATCCCAGGTCTGGGTGGTCCCATCTCTAGGCCCACCCTCCCTGGCTGCTGCTTCCTAGGGGCTCACTGGGGTTCTCCGGGTCCAAGGTCTGACCTAGCCCCACCCTATCCTCAGGCAGCAGCCCCATCCAACCACGGCCGGGACACACCACGGTGAGCGCTGGTGGGGTCCTCAATGACCAGCACTGGCACTACGTGCGTGTGGACCGATATGGCCGCCAAGCAAACCTCACCCTGGACGGCTATGTGCAGCGTTTCATTCTCATGGCGACTTCGAGAGGCTGAACCTGGACAATGAGGTGAGCAGAGCGGAAGGGAGTCATTTGGTTGAGGGGGGCGCTGGCTGGGTGGGTGGGGGACAGCACTTCCCTCCACCAAAGGTCAGACCTTGCTTCCTGGTGCCACCCGAGAACCATTGAGATGGGGTTTGGACATCTGGATTTTGAGGATTGGGCAAGATGAGAAAATTGCCCCCTGGGATTGCCCCGCTGTGTGGGATTAAAGACCCTGGCCTCCGTCTGCACAGAAAGAATCCCAGAAAGTTTTATTGACCTACTCAAGGCCATGCAGCCACTTTGTGGTGGAGTTAGGACTAGAACCCAAACCTCAGGAGGCCCAGCGAGCTTCCAGCTTTAACACCGACATTGGGGAAATGTGTGTTTCAAGCCTTTTATAAAAAAGCTGCATGGTGGGAGCTCCAGGGAGGTGCATGCGCTCCGGCACCCAGGGAACCTCACCCTCATTCCCTACTCCGCCCGCCCGCCCGCAGATGTTCATTGGAGGTCTGGTGGGCGCACAGAAAAACCTTGCCTATCGGCATAATTTCCGTGGCTGCATGGAAAATGTAATCTTCAACCGAGTCAACATCGCGGACCTGGCTGTGCGGCGCCATTCGAGGATCACCTTCGAGGCCAGTGGGCCGGGGATCCGGGAGGATGGGACAGCAGAGCCACTTGGAAAGCCAAGAAGTGGAACGGGAAGAGATCTTGACAATCAGATACAAGTTCAGGACCTCTCCCTCCCCAGCCAGATGCTCAAGTGGGGGGCTTGATGAAATTACAGGAGGTGCAAAGTCCACCCCTCTACCCCAGTTAAGAAGCGGCAGTAGAGCCATGGGAAATCCCCTCTGGACGTTGGCAGGAAGGAGGGGTCGCCCTGAAGACGTTGTAGATCAGTGATAGCAAGAGAGCCGAGGCCCCCTGTACAGCTGGACCTGTTTCTAGGAGGATGGAAATGTCAGGGTTGAAGGTCTTCCCCCATCGCTCCCACACTGAGGAAGTGCTGTGACAAAGATCTTAGACCAGTACGAAAATGGGATTCCCAGAGAGGCGGGGTGGAAACTCGAGGCCACTGATGGGTCCTTGCTTTCGCCTCCAGGGTAAGGTGGCCTTCCGCTGCCTGGACCCGGTCCCTCACCCGGTCAACTTCGGAGGTCCTCACAACTTCCTGCAAGTGCCTGGGTTCCCTCGGCGCGGCCGCCTCGCAGTCTCCTTTCGCTTCCGCACCTGGGACCTCACGGGACTGCTACTTTACTCCAGCCTGGGGGACGGACTGGGCCACGTGGAGCTGATGCTCAGTGAAGGGCAGGTCAACGTGTCCATTGCACAGACCGGCCGAAAGAAGCTTCAGTTCGCTGCTGGTGAGGGATGGGTTGGGGGCGGGGCCTGGATTGAAGGGTGGACAGGGGCCAGAGAGATAGGTAGGAGGCCAGAGAGGGCAGAGGAGAGCAGGGGTGATTGTAGGCTTGGACTGAGGGGAGCAGAGCAGGAGGTCCCAGGCCCCTGGGAAAAGGTGGGAGTGGATGAGAGGCAGCTGGGGCTGGGGGCAGATCTGAGGGGCTACGGGTGCTGGGAGAAGCAGGAAGCCTGAGAGTCCTGGTATTCTCCAGTTCCAGGGCGGGTCTCTGGAGGTGTTTGTTATTCATTTATAACTTTGCAGACTGTATAAGCTGCTGGATAGTGAAGAGAGACTTTCAGAGATGTCACCACCCAGTGTGATAAGTGTAACAATGGGAGGAGGAACATCCTCCACTATTGGGACACAGAGTGGGGGGGTGCTGCTTCCACAGGAAAGACAGATTGCTCCTAGGGCCTGGTGCGTTCCCCACCCACAGCATCCTCCTTTCCTGTCCAGGGTACCGCCTGAACGATGGCTTTTGGCACGAGGTGAATTTCGCGGCACAGGAAAACCATGCAGTCATCAGCATTGATGATGTGGAGGGGGCAGAGGTCAGGGTCTCATACCCACTGCTGATCCGTACAGGGACTTCGTACTTCTTTGGGGGTAAGTGGTGGCTAACCTGGCCAGACCCCTGTCCCTGGGTGGGAAGGCCCCCAACCCCACCTAAGTCCACCCAGATGGGACTACATGGAGAGCTTTGTAGAATAAACCCTTCTTTCCCTCTGGGGCCTTGGGG